CCCCTCCCTCCTCCGTCCGCCCGGGCCCTGGCACCGGAGGGTCCCTCCTCCCCCCAAGCACATCTGGTTCTTGTTAGGGTCTCCCAGGATGCCTCTGCCTGAGGCCCCCCATCCCGGGGGAGGTGGGCAGGAGGATTAGGGACGATTAGGAGCGCTCCTGGCCAGGGGAGGAGGAGCAGGAGGGGAGGGGCCGGGCCTGTTATAAATAGCCATGCTGTGACCGCCCGGGCCCATCATTCACCGGAGATTCCAAGTTCAGCCTCAGAAACTTGCAGCTTCAGCGCTGGGGTGGGGTGATGCTCCTGTATCCCCTCCCGTCTCCCCCCACACGTGATCCTTTCCCAAGAATCTTCCAACCAGTCCGGTGGGGTGGGGAAGGTGCAGCAACTGCCAGCCACTCCTTCCCTCTTGGAGTCAGGCCCCTGCACCTGGGTTTGTGTTGCCTTGGACAAGAGACTTGACCTCTCTGGACAGTGGGGATGGTGATAGTGCCACCAAGTTCATGGTGGGTATGGGAGGTCAAGTGCATAAAGCACTGAGAAGAGTGCTAGGCCTGGTAGGCACCTTAGCACTCCGTATGAGCCGTGGTCACCGTCACTGTCTCCCCACGGTCGCCATCACGGGTTGGTAGAATGGAGTGACAGGCTGCATAGGAAGAGTCTGCAGGACGCCCCGCGCAGAATAAACTCCTGTGATTAGTAATGGACTTGGCTTGAAAAGCACACATTGTAGGCACTCAATAAATGGGAATCGAGGTGGCCCGGGAAGCATGGGGTGGGTCCCAAGCAGAGGTGGGAGTCCTGGACCCTGGCATGTGGGCGGGTCACACCCAGCTCCAGAAGCCGCTCTTGCCCTGGCCACACAGGGCCCTGGACGGCCATTGGCGGCGCGTGGTGGGTGTCCCTTGTTCTCAGCTGGGTGAGCCGGGGGTGGGGGTCAGCAGGAGGGCCCTGGCCTGTCGCAGGCAGCGCGTGACTCCTAGGAGGGCTTAGCCGCTGGCTCGCTCCTTAATCACCTAAGCGGGGCTCAGCATTCTTGAAATGCCGGCTGGGGCCAGGGAGGGGCCTGGGCGGGGGGCTCGTCGGGACCCCAGGGCTCTGGGGGCTGGTACCTTATCTGTTTCATACTCACAGCAGCCCTGTGGTTGTTAGCTGTGCGTGGCCCCATTTTGCCAGTGAGGAGACTGAGGCTCAGAGAGGGTGTGTGACCTGTCCGGCAGCACAAAGCAGGCAGCGGCTGAGCCAGGATTTGCTCCTGGACCTAAGCTTGCCAGGGGAGGGGTGCGAGGGGCAGACCCCAGACCCCAGGCTCCAGAGGCCGGCGGGAGGCGCCCTCCTGCCTCAGTGGGGCAGGCCAGCCCGGGTCAGCGGGTAGGTGGGGCTGCCCTCCATTATCGGGGTTGACGCATCTCCCACGTCAGCCCCCTTATCTCCCCGCCCTCTGCTCCCCCCGCAAGGTGACCCTGGGAGGGGAGAGGCCAGCACCACCCCCTCTCACTCAGGATGCCCAAGAGTCCTGGCCGCCTTCCTCTGTGCGTCTCCCCTGTGGGGCCAGGGCCAGCGGGGAGGGCCCGGGAGAGGGCGGGCATGCGGAGGGGCAGGGCTCCAACCGCCATCCCTCTTGGCTGCGCAGCCAGGGCTGGCCTTCACCTTCCTGGGCCTCTGCCTCTTCTGAAAAATGGGGACTGAGTACCCCAGCTCCGACCCGGGGGTGATGGGCATATCCAGTGAGGGCAAGCTGGGCATTCTCTGATCCTGCACTCCTTGCTGCAGCTGGGGCCCAGGGTGCAGGATGTGGACCCCCAGGACGCGTAGTCCCACCCTGCCGGCCTCATGCTCCCCTGAGCCATCGGGAATTGACTCATGGAGGCCAGGCCAGGACATTCTGTGCTGGGTCCAAACTGGCAAGGGTGATGGACACCCAACACCCACTGGGCACTCAACCCAATAAAGCAGGCTGGGCCCGGTGGCTTATACCTGTAATCCCAGCATGCTGGAAGGCCAAGGCGGGAGAATCGCTTGAGCTTAGGAGTTCAAGACCAGCCTGGGCAATATAGCAAGACCTTGGCTCTACCAAAAAAAAAAGCCAGGCGTGGTGGCACATATCTGTACTCCCGGCTACTCAGGAGGTTGAGGAGGGAGGATCGCCTGAGCCCAGGAGGTGGAGGCTACAGTGAACCATGATCATGCCACTGTACTCCAGCCTGGGCAACAGAGTGAAACCCCAACTCTACAAAAATAAAATAATAAACCACCTCACAGCACCCTGTAAGGCAGAGAGACAGCAGCCTCTGTTTACAGATGAGCGGGAGGGACGTGCTCCAGTCACACCACTAGAAAGGGGTCTGGAGGAGCAGGCTCAGCCCGTCTGTCCCCACTTGCACACTCTGGGCCCCTCCTTTCCCTATAGACTAGAGGTGGCCTTGTGTGCTGGGGGGGTGTCATCAGGGCTTCCCGGAGGGGAGTCCCATGGTGGAGGAGGAAGGACTCACCCCGCGTGGATGCGAGGGGGAGGAGCGAGGGGGTATGTGCTTTGGGGGTGCAGTCTGGCAGGGATGGAGGCCTGAGGTCCCCAGGAGGCCGGCCCCCCAGCGTGCTGGCCGCCCCACAGGCCACGACATCAACGGTGCCCTGGAGCCCTCCAACATCGACACCAGCATCCTGGAAGAGTATATCAGCAAGGAGGATGCCTCTGACCTGTGAGTGGCCCCCGCCTCTTGGCCTCTCCCCTCACTGGGAGGTGCGAGGGCAGGACCTGGGGGGCAGTCTCGTGCCCCCGAAGCAGCTCCTCATCCTTTCCAGGTCCCGACTCACAGTTCCCTGGGGGGGGGGGGGGGGTGCGCAGCCGAGTCCTGGGGGCCCTGGGAGCCGGCTGAGGCTGAGCAAACCCCTTCCCCGCAGCTGCTTCCCCGACATCTCGGCTCCAGTCAGTGCGGCCTCCTACTCCCACGGGCAGCCAGCCATCTCCGGCTCCAGCGGGGTCCACCACCTGAGTCCCCCGGGGGGCGGCCCCTCCCCGGGGCGCCACGGTCCCCTCCTGTCCCCGGGCTACGGAGCCCCGCTCAACTGCAACAACAACAACGGAATGGGGGCCGCCCCCAAGCCCTTCCTGGGGGGCTCCGGGCCCCCCATCAAGGCAGAGCCCAAGGCTCCCTATGCTCCAGGGTGAGTGAGGGCCCAGGGGCAGGCGGGGTGGAGGGGGCCGTGGCCATGGCCTGGGAGATGCTGGCCACCAGCCTGGGTGGGAAGGGTGATCGGCTGCCCCGTGGGGGGCACGGGTGTGGGAGGATGGGGCCAGGGTGAGGAGGGCCTCCGGCTTTGTCCCGAGGCAGTGGGCAACCCTGAGGGCTCTAAGCAAGGGGGTGATGAAGACTGACGTTAAGTACTAGAAAAATATCTGAGAGCTGTGTGGAGAGTGGATGGGAGGGGGCGGGATGGGAGGCCACACCGTTTACCCTCATGGGAACACCTGCACACACGTGCCCACGTGCAAGCACGCAGACCCCTTCCCCGTGCTGGCCCCCACTCACGCCCATGTGGCCGAATTTAGCTGACATGTGCCGCAGCCACGGGTGGTGGCTGACGGCTCAGAGATGGCATCTCAGGCTCTCTCCACCCAAGAACTCCTCCTGATAAGGCCGCATCCTCCCAGGCCCCCCACCCCACCCCCGTCTCCCTGGGAGGTCCTGAGCCTTGGGCTGAGCCTTGGGCCTGACTTTGGCCAAAGGTTCCAGGGGCCACCAGCCCAGCCAGACTCCAGGGCAACCCCAGCACGTGCTCACGGGGAGACGCAGAGGGAATGGGTCTGCGGGGCTCTGGGAGGAGCCCAGGGAGAGCTCTGGGGGCCCAGCCTGGGTCAGGGGCAGAGGACTCCACCTTTGGGTGGAGGAATATTACGGCACTGGGTGCGCAGACACTGTTCAGACAGCCTGGCTGCACCATTGACCAGCCTGGGCCTTGGTAACCACAGCCTGTGTCGGGGCCTCCGTTTCCTCACCTGAGAATTGGCCCCCAAGATCTCACCCCTCGAGATTATCATGGGAAGTGAGAGGGAACACTGGGTGGAGGGTGGCCCCTGCCGTGTGGCCTGCAGCATTTCCCGGGCTTCCTGGCCTGTGGGGGACAGAAGTGAGGCCAGGCGCGAGGTGCCAGGGTGTCCCTGTGCTGCAGAAGACAGGCTGTCTGCTTGTGGCCATGAGGTGTCCCTAAGCCACAGGCCCCCGAGGGCAGAGGGAGGGCAATGAACATCCCATAAGCACCTGCTGAGTGCCTGCCACCGTGTCACAGACCTCTGCTTGTGTGCGTTCTTCAGCCTTCCCCAGTAGCCAGCCCCTGAGAGACCCCACAGCGGGAGACCCCTACAGTGGGCCCTGGCTGCTCTCATAGCCAGGGGCACGCCAAGGCCCCGAGTCAGAAAGGGGCTTGTTCAGAGCCACACACAGGGACTCCGTGGCTGGGCCGCTCCAGGGAGACACCCAGGGCCAGGCCCCGTTCTAAGGGATAAACGGGACAGACGTGTCCCCCGGCTGTGGGCCCTGCAGCCCAGCTAGGGAGAGAGTGCTCAGTGGGAGGAGGAATGAGATACGAAGGGGGTTTGTGAGGACAAAACTCCAGGTCCTATGGACTTGGGCCCCGGCTTGCAGGGACTGGAGGGCAAGCAAGACCTTGACATGTTAGGGAAGCCCAAGGCCATTGCCAGCGAAGTGCAGGGAGACACCTGGGATGGTGCACTCAGAGCCGGATGGGCTGGGACAGCCGGGCGGCAGCTGTGCCGGAGAGTGTAGCTTTGAGCCCCATCCACAGAACCTGAGGGGGTCCATGTTCTTGAATCCATTTTACAGGTCTGTACGTAAGGCCCCGGAGGCGGGCTGGGGCATCCAGGGGCCCACTGGGGGGGACCCTGGAACCCGCCGAGGTCGTGTCCACGACAGCATGGCGGCCTTCCCGGCAGTCCCCCACGCATGGAAGTGGGGCATCTCTTTAGGCATAAGGACCAAGGATGGCCAAGGAACTGGATCCCACGTGGCCGCCGCCTCCCCCTTGCTGGGCAGGCAACTGGGTTCACGCAGGACGTGTTGACCTCTTGGGTCGAGTTTGTTCTTTTTCCTGAACCACTGATAAAATGAAACCTGCAAGAAAAAAATAAACCCAGGCCCGGCGGCCCTGGCTCCCTTCCCAGCCCACACCTGCCTGTGGCGGGCAGCCCCCTGTGATCTGCTGAACCTGTCCAGGTCCAGCCCTCTAGGGCCCCAGGTTTTCGGGAAGGCTCAGGACTTTGGTGGGTGCAGGAAGGGAGGAGCAGGCCTGGCCTCTGGGTTTGGGCCTGGTCCCTGAATTTGTGTGTCATATCAAGGACGCTAGTGACTGGCCCCCAAGTGCCCAGTGGGTCTGAGGAGATCTTGGTCAAGAGCTTGGTCTCACACCCCCCACGTGCAACTCAGCCCAGGCCCTGTTGGACACCCCGAGGTGGGCGGTGCTGAGACTTGCTCAGAGGGTGGCTGTGAGAGAACCTCAGAGTGTCTGGGGCCTCTGGGACCCCACCACGCAGAGACACTGCCCAGCTGGAAGGTGGGACCCCCGCCGCTCACCCACTGCCCCTTCCCTGGCTCCCACAGCACGCTGCCAGACTCTCCCCCAGACTCGGGCTCCGAGGCCTACTCCCCCCAGCAGGTGAATGGTGAGTCCAGCGGGCACCGCCTTCCCCCTCCGGAGTTTGGGCAAGTGGTTGGGGCGGCCTTATCGGGGAGGGCAGGAGGGCGGGAGGGAGGGGGCCAGCGACTGCCCGACGGCTGAGATTATCGCTGGTCAAATACTCCCCGGCGCTGGCTATTGTTTCCCCACGGGCGGGTGGGAGCCTGGCCCTGCCTCTGAGCAAGTGTCCCTGCGGTGATGCCACCCGCCTGCCCGCCTGCGCCATCATGGACGCGCCCTTCGGCGGTAAGTGGACGGCTGGGGAAGGCCGAGGGTGCAGCCCAAGCGGGCCTCGCAGGCCGGACCCACCTCACCTTCAGGGGGTGCTCGGGGTGCGGCAGCCCCCAGGTGGCCAGGAGCAGAACCGCCGCGCCGCAGCCCCAGAGGGGTCAAGAGTTCTGTTTATCTTACCAAAAACACGCCTGGAATGCCTCCTGGGGAACAAAGGGAGCTGGAGCCAACCCCTCAGGCCGGGGTGGGGGCTGGCCCCTGGGAGCCCAGGAGAGGGGCTGCTGGAGGGAAGAGCACCGGTGGGGACGGGGGTCTCTGGGGACTCCTTCCTGAGGCACAGAGGAGTCAGAGACAGGGAGACCTTGAGGCTTGGCTCTGATACCCCCAGGGAGCTGGCCTGGGCCGGCCTGGGGGAAGGAGCCGGCCGGGATGGGGGGA